GGTGGCGCCGTCCGGCCAAAGGGTTAATCGAATTACGGGGATACTCTGCTATCGGCAAAGGGATCGATGGATGATTCCGGTGTACGATTTCGTGACCGGAAGCGTGTTACGGCTCCGGTATCGTTCAAGGATCGAAGCAGAGAATTAGAGACTTTCGAAGGTACTCGTTGCCGGGCGAACTGAACTCTTTCAAGGATCGGAGCCCGGCGCGAAAACAGGGCAATCGGAAGCCCTTTCGTTAGAGGGTAAACTAATTGGCACGGGTGTCGCTGTTGTTTCGCACCGCTCCAATTAGATCGCTTTTTCGTCGGGCCATTAACTTATTATCTTGGCCCGCAACGCCCGCGAGGTCCGCAAAATCCGCGCGAAAAACGCGCGATACTTACGGTTAAATTATCTCGTGTTGTCTCTCTGTAACTTGGGACGACCATATACAGGGATACCATTGGGATACCATTGTACAGGGTGTCCCAAAATTATGGTACTTCCGGGAAATATAAAAAAATATAATAATATAATATAATATATATAATAATATATAATATAGTATATATATATATTATTATATACTATATTATTACTATATATTAATTACTATATATATATATAAAAGCCGCAGATCGCATTTTCGCAAAGGAAAAAGTTACTCCATATGACCTCAAGAACCCTTAATTTCCCGGAAATACTATAATTTTAGGATACCCTGTATATGTGCGAAATCGCATAACGGTTCTTCATAGTCAACGATTTCTTCAACAGCTCTAAAAGTCGCAATCTTCTTCTTGTCTCAAGTTGCCCTTGTTCGTTTCAAAGCTGAGCGACAGCGTGAGAGAATTTATCGTACACTAAGTGCTCTCTAATTATTCCTCAGCTTGTAAACGAAAAAATGGACAATTTGGGAATACGGTAATAATAATACGATTATCCGAGCCCAGCGGCTCGTTCTAACAGTCTCCGATTCTATCGCCAATTATAAAAATCGCATCTCCTCGTTCCAAATTGTCACATTTTGCGCTCAGGAAAGCCGTGCGCGACAATACGAGTGAAATTCACCGTGTATATATTCGGTCGACGTTGAATCCTCGAGACCGGAACCGCGATAGCTCGTGTTCGTCCTCTTTGTCGTTCCCGGCCGGCAAACCCGTCCGTCGATGATGGGCCGCGGTTGTTTGCTTTTACGTCAGCGGCATCATGCTTACCGGTGGTTTACGGCTGTCGTTGCAAAGACACGAGTAACGCGGTTAATCCGCGCTCCCGGGTAAGCCGTGGTTCGATGAGTCCGTAATTTGGTGGCAGCGCGAGAGTATGGTCGTCGTCGACGTCGATGAAGGAAAGGCGGCCGGGCGATGCGAGCATGCGACGGCCAGCAGCCATTAGCTTTGACGCGATCATCCAGGGACAAAGATTAGCGGCGACGACGACAACGACGACGACGCGACGGCGGCATCGACAACGGGAAGCGAGCAAAGGCAGAGCAGAGCAGAGCCTCCGAGCTCCCTATTGGCCGGCGCGCCGAAGCTTTCGAACGGTCCGCGTCGCAGAGGAAGCTCCCGAGAAAATCGCCGTTACCGATAGGTTCGCAAGCACGCGGATCGGTGGAAGGGGGTTGGGAAAGCTTGTCGCGGCGGTACGACGACGAGGGAAACCGGTCCGGTCCGCTCTCCGAGTCTGACGCGGTCGACGGATCCGAGCGATTCAGCGAGAAGCGCATTCTCTCTCGACCCGGCGACCTCGACCGCTGGGAATCGAACGGCGGTTCGACTAGAGCGGTTCACGAGAAATTGTATTAAGTCTCCTCCTGGACAGCGGTAACCCTTGCATACCGAATGAACGCATTGTTAGCGTCGATAAGATACGCCGGTGCACGATCCTATCGTATCTTCGAGCCGGATCCCTTGGCCCGGGTCGATCCGAATTACCGTGGACGCTTCTCCGCGATCCTTTCTCTTCTCCCTCTCTCTCCCTCTCTCTCTCTCTCTCTCTCTCTCTCTTGCGAGCTCTTTCTTCATCTCTCTCTCTCTCTCGCGATCTCTCTCTTCATCTCTCGCTCTCTTTCTCTCTATTCATCTCTCACTCTCTCTCTCTCTTCATCTCTCGCTCTCTCTCTCTCTCTCTCTGAACCTCTTTTCATCTCTCTCTCTCTCTCTCTCTGAGCCTCTCTTCATCTCTCTCTCTCTCTCTCTCTGAGCCTCTCTTCATCTCTCTCTCTCTCTCTCTCTGCCCCTCTCTATTTCTCTCTC